GACAATCACTATATCCACATTTGGACATTCATTAGCAAAAGGATTTTTACCATAATATCTGCTAAAACTTTGAAACTAATGTAATTTCTTTTTTTAACAACTTATTTTTTAATTTTTTATTAATTTATTTGTTTTAATTAGGTATATATGAAAGCATAATGCATTTTGATTCATTGTACACATTGCAGCACAACTTTTCATTTCTCTGGTTGTACACAATGTAGTGTAGCACCATATGTACAGTCATACCTGTATACAGTCATACCTGGGGTAATGATGTCCATCTCATTCAACCATGGCCCCTCCCTTCTTCTCCTTCCCCTTTGCCCCATCAAAGTTCCTCCATTATTCCCATGCCCCCCAATTATGGATCAGCATCCACTTATCAGAAAGAACATTTGACCTTTTGGTTTTGGGGATTGGCTTACTTTGCTTAGCATGATATTCTCCAACTCCATCCATTTACCTGCAAATGCTATAATTTTATTCTCTTTTAGTGCTGATTAATATTCCATTGTGTATATATACCACAGTTTCTTTATCCATTCATCTATTGAAGGGCATCTAGGTTGGTTCCACAGTTTAGCAATTGTGAAAAGAGTTGCTTTAAACATTGATGGGTTGTGTTAGTATAGTATGTTGTTTTTAAGTCCTTTGGGTATAGACTGAGGAGTGGGATAGCTGGGTCAAATGGTGGTTGCACTCCAAGTTTTCTAAGGAATCCCATATAATTTCTAATGATTCACAATAAAAAAATTCACTAGAAGAACATGAGAATTTTACAGGCAGTTCTCAGGCAGAATTTTCTTATTACTAAGCAAACCTACACTGACAAAATTAAATCACCATTAATTTGAACTTTTAAAAAATCATCATTTAACAAGCAGTAAGTTTCTAAATTTGCAAAGTGGCTCCAGTGGCGTAATCGATTAGCCCTGGGTACTTATATGATCTTGGAAGATTCTAAAGTTGCTATTTACGTTCAAAACTATCACCAATGATAGTGCCAGTGCTGGACTCTACTTCTTGTCCTAGAAGGGTTTTTTTTTGTTTTTTTTGGACACAGAGAAACAAACAAAAACTATAAGTCAAATTAAATCCATCAAAAAGCAAAATAAGGGGCTGGGGTTATTGTGGCTCAGTGTTAGAGCACCTGCCGGGCATGTGTGAGGCACTGGGTTCGATTCTCAGAATCGTATAAAATCATCAATCAATCAATCAATCAATCAATTTTTTTAAAAAAAGCAAAATAAGAAGCAGATGCTGTGATATCGTGAATTTCCTGATTTAAAACTATTTAATTAAGCTTCAAACCAAAAAGAGAGCCATGAGCTTTTTCCCCTTGGGAAGGGAGAAACAGCAGAATCATTTTTGTGTTTGAAATGAAACGGGTCCACTGAGTATCCTCTGTAAACATTAAATAATGATCACACCATATCAAAAATGAAAACCCCTTATTATTTATTGAACTGAATCCCATGCTCACAAGAAGATTTTTAAATGAGATTCTCAAAGGACTTTATAAATGCTCTCTCATTATCATTCACCTTCATTTGAAAAGGTAAGTATCTTCATCTCCATTTCAGAGTTAGGGGTTAACAGAAAGGTGAACCAAATTATATAAACTTATATTACAAGTCTGAAAGTGATAGATACCAAGATTTGTTATCCCTTGAGGACTAACAGCTTTTCTTTGAAAAATTAAGCAACCTTTCTAATTATTTTTAGGAGGGTGTTTCACAAAAACACAATATTTTATCTGTACATCGGGTCTAGAAAGAAAAGTCACAAAATAATAACTGTGCTAAATAAAAAGCCAGTGTGGTTTCCAGAATTCTCTCTATTCTCTGTACCCACCCATGTGGCTAGAGATTTGAAATGCTATTTAAGTCTCATTTTCCTTCAGAAGCTAACCTCTGTGGAATAAAATGCTGTTAAGGGGGAAAAATCTTTTCTGTCATTTGACTTTAACTTATGATAAATTAGCTTCAACTAGTTTCTTAGAAAATTGCCCAAGAAATGACTACAGAAAATTAAATACCAAGACTTCAAAGAGGCAAACACACAGCCTTCAAATTCCGACCTCAGAGAATAATCCTCCCTTTCTCATGCTTTGGAGAGATGTGAGTAAAGAAATCGTACTAGGGCATGGTAATGAACCATCTTTCAAATGACTTTTCTATCAATCTTCTTTTCAAAGGGTAATAAAGTGATGATTATTCCTAGGCAGTTTCTGGGAAGTTATCATCTCATTTCAATAGTCACCGGTAAAGGACTGTACTCTGGCACTGTCACTGATGGTGATAAGGGCAAGAACTGGTTGGGAATTCAATAGACAAGGTGTAGGTTGTTAAAAGCTATTTCCTAGAAAATTAAAACAGAGAGAGATCAAAAGAATTGTGTTGGCTCTTAAGGAATTGGTAATCATTTTCTTCTAGATTAAAAATGCAAATCTGATCTATTACCTAGTAAATGAAATCCACTATCATTTGAAGGTTTTGTTACTTCTTTTTAAAAAATAGTGTTGAAAGTGTGTTATGTGCCCAGCTTTGTGCTAGATGTAGGTGGGTGTCTGAAAGCACAGGACATAACAGGGACATCTGTGGCATGACTTCTAGAACCAGAGTAGCCCGTTTCCTCTAAAATAACAGTCACAAGCAACAACAACAGAAAGTTTTTAAAGTATTGACTGAATGTTGGGAAGTCTGGGTCAGCCAGTACTTGTTTTTACAAAGCCTCAGAAGACAACAGGGCAAGAAACACTCAAAACCACATCAAACTTCATCCCTCAGAGCTGTAAGAAAGCTCTAAGATAGCAGGGGCAGAAGTCACTCCAGGCATGTACAGCCTCGTAGAAAGAAAATTCTATATGCCCAGTGAGTGCCCCAGTAGAGAATTTCCTGGATCCTGCCTGTTTCTCTGGTCCCCAGATTCAGATCCCATCTGTGATGCTGGCTTTGTGCTCAGAAAAGGACTATGCGGTCTGTTTTTCTTCACAGGTTCCTAAAACCAGTCCTAGCTATGTCTTCTTATTTGCCGTAATTCTCTTGTCTCAGTGTGTACATACTGCTCTGGCAGGTAGGGTATGAAACATCTCTGAGTTCAACATTTGCCCAGAAATAAAAAATTCTAGCACTTGGTAGAAGTGCAAATTTGAAATAAACAAAAGTAAGTAGGAGACATAAAGCTCTTTAAGGGCAAAGATATGTCCTGTTCATCTCTGCATCCTCATCCTTCATGCAATGTAGAAAAGGCACTTAATAAATATCTGCTGAATAAAATTGAAACAATAAACATTTCACTCTAGTGATCAGAAATCAAAGTTATTGTCACATTGTATTCAAGCCATCCTAGTTGTCTGCATTGGTGGGATAGTGGTGAGCACAGCTGCCTTCAAAGCAATCCTAGTGACCTTTGCTGAGCAGTTCATTTTTTTTTTTATTTTAAATTTTTCTTTTAGACATTGATGGACCTTTATTTTATTCATATATTTATATGTGGTGCTGAGAATCGAACCCAGTGCTTCACACATGCTAGGCAAGTGCTCTACCACTGAGCCACAACCCTGCCCCTTAGCAGTTCATCTTTTTAAAATGTTATTCTGTAGATTTTTCTTCACTCTTTTTTTTTAAGCACACCACAAAAATTTGAAATCAAAATGTATTTGCTTTCAGGTTCTATCCCAGGTAACAAGTAGTTGGCCAATAAATTGATGCCTTTGATTTGGTCCTTGGACAAATTGCCTATTTCCATTTGATTTCAATACAGCACTGAAGTAAGTACCAATTGATCTTTATTGACTCATAAAGTAGAATAAAATATTAACATTTTATCTGCCCTCACTGTCAATCAAGAAATCACCCAAATTTCCCACTGTCTACCATCCCAGACCAAAGTCAAAGGAATATAGATTAACCCTTATAGCAAGCAACTCAAACTTAAAAGAATCTGACAAAATCACTGCAAACAAAATCCTTGATTTTCTACCCACTGTGCAACAGGCTCCCTGAAGTATAACCTAAGAATGCAGGAGCATATATTTGAAAAGCAGGCTCAGAAGCAAGATATGTAATGTAAAGACTAAAGATAAAGATAAGCTGAAATTTTTCAAACCCAGGAGGTTTGCTGCTGGCAGATTGGAACATGTTATAATAAGAAAGGAGACGCAGGGGAAGAGGGGAGAGGATTCCCAGCCCTCCATCTCTGCTTGTGTGCAAAGCTCATACTTGTTTTGAGGTAGGGCAACCCAACTTAGTGTGCAAGAGGCACAACTGACCCCTCCAAAATGTCACACAGTGTACTTTCCAGAGATCCTTCATTTTGGGCATCAGAAACTGATGACACGTTTTCAAGCCAGATTAAAACCACAAGAACTCCATCTTGGAGCGAAGTAAACACCTGCAAAACATGTTTCAGTCTGAAAGCATATATTTCTTCATAAGACCCGACACGCAGTGATTCCACCTATAAATATTACAGACAGAGCTCTGGAAAAGAAAGTGGCATGATAGAGGTTGACCTAATCAATTCTATGACTGACAGCACCCCTAAGATCAAGGAAGGGAAACCCTTTCTTAATTTATCTCCAGTTTTACAATTCCTTGTAAAAAATAAAAAAAATAAAAGGAAAGGCATTTGTTTTAGATTTCCCTTCATTTTTTGTTTTAGAGAAACCTGAAATGCCCAGACATCACATAGATTACTGACAGTACTCAAACCCAACTAGATTTCACCAGGATACTAACTTTTACTGGTTAGTTGGTACAGGAGTGTGCTCTGATCTGTGCAAATACACCCTTATTCCATTGTTTCCTTGTTGTTGCTATTCAAAGCTCTGTGCTACTGAATAGGATAGAGGAGGAAGTCAAATAACTTCTTAATGTACATATATATATATACACACACATAAGAACAATGTGTGTGTGAGGTGGTGAACAGCAGTGGGGGGGGGGTACAGTCTGCATACACAGTGAGAAAATAAATTAAATTCATCCCCCTAGTTCCTTAGCACACAGCACTCCAAGGGTTCCAAGTGAGCAGCTAAAGCAATGAGGTATCAAAAAAACAGTATTTCCAGCTGACTTGTCCAAGTGTCTTCTTGTGGAACCTGAGGATAGAGAATGCATGCCAAACATCCTTCATAGGTCAACATCCTGAAGAATCCGTTCATTATATACCAATGAGGCCTCTGGGCAGGGACAGATGTGTTCCAGTACAAAGCCATCCTGATCCCTTGATCTGATGTAATCAGTGTTGCATCATCAATCTACATCACCAAAGAACTCATGGCAGAAAGGTTGAGGGCCATCATCTTCTTGCTTCTCCCCCTTTTAGAGTCGTGTATGATCTTCTAGGGAATTTCTACTCCTTTCTCTTGCTGGAGGCCCCTCAGTTGGTTCTTTTTCCTTCTCAAATCCAAAGCTGGAATTTATTGTTCCAGGGGAATAGTCATTTCTTTTCAAATCTGCAAGGAAGACAAGACAGTTCTAGGATACCCCACAAACACACTTATATCCTCTAGATATACTCAACTTGAGGTTCTGCTAAGTGTTCAGGGAGGGTTCTACTTCCCCAGGCTATGATCCAACCAAGTCCTCCCTCAATGCCCATGTGTAACTCTAACTCCCTTGCTGTGGGGAGCACTGGACACATGGAGGAGAGATATGGTAGTTTGATTTCATGTACAGTACTCCATAAGGTATAACCTGGCCAGAGTTAAGAAAGAGAAACTATTTAATTATGGGCAGGGTCAGGGAGGTCAGCCAAAATGGGTCAGCTTTCTGTAACAAAAACATACCTCAAGTTCAGCACTACCTACAAAAGTTTTATCCAATTATCAGATCCTATGTTTCCTGAGCCCTCCATCTTCCATTTTAAAAAGGAAATTGGAAAAACATTCATAGGGGTAATCTTTGGGAGAAGGACCTAGAGGAAAATGAGCTTTAAACATGTGGGTAACTTTTTGTGATACGCTGACTAAATTTGGTAGTCTTAAATGTATATTACCAGGGAGCTAGGTGTGTCATTCATCAGTACAGCACATGTTTAGTGTGCACGAGGCCCCGAGTTCCAGCTTCACCAAAGGGGGAAAATGCATTTTTTGCATTTTTTAATGTTAAATGGGGATTCTCTGGTCATAAAACTAATACATATTTTAATAATCATCAACATCTATTGAACAAATACATCTATTAACTCCATCCAAACACCAACTTTATGAGACAGGTACTGTTACCCCAAGTTTTCAGATGAGGGTACTGAACTCCAAGTTCCTGTAGCTAGTAAAAAGCAGAACTGGTGTGTGAGCCCAGACTGCCAGGCTCTAGGTCCTAGACTCTTAAACACTGTTCTAAACTGCCTCTCCACAAATAAGTAAGTGTGAAAAGTAAGACAGAAAAGTCAATTCTAAACTTGTTTCCCAAACTAAATTTTTTTAAAATCCATATCACAAACATCCGAGTAAACAATGATATTTCTTATTTCCATTTAAATGTTGGTTTAAAACTAAGGTTTGGAAGGGAAACACAGATTATGTCTAAAGATGGAGAAATTATCAAATCACTTACTTGAAACCCACCAGTGTACTTAAAAAATGATCTCAACCTTAATGGGACAGAACAGCCAACTGGGTTCAGGAACTGGAAGTAGTACATGATGGCTCAAGTCTCCCTGGCTCCTGGCTGATTAGATACAATGCTTGTGTCTTTAAGAATGGAAACTGCCCTGTCCAGGGTACAATGAATCAGGCTAGGGACAGGCCAGTGCCTGAGGACATGCAGCTAAAGAGTCCAACTTGCAATCATGGGATAACTCAAGGGTTTGTCAGCTCCTGCCTCCCATAGGGCCCTTCATGGGAGTCCCTAAGACCTCTCAGCCCAGCCCCAGCCTGGGCTGCTTCTGACCAGAGGGGAGGATAACATGCTGGGTACTGATCTCTCAGCTAGTCTGGTGTTTGATTTGTGAGACAGAGTCTGGGTAGCTATGAGAATTGGGCTTTACCCCTGTTATTGCTCCATTTTTGACCTCCCCAGCCAACATATGCACCCTGGCCCCCAACACTGGCTAATGCACTATATTCCTACTGGAACTGGAGGCCAGCTCTAAAATCCAGTTTTTTTGCTAAATTTTGCCCACAAAAGTTCCTCTCCCAGGCTACGGTTGTGTCTCAGTGGTAGAGCACTTGCCTAGCATGTGCAAGGCGCTGGGATCTTTCCTCAGCACCGTATAAAAATAAATAGAATATGTTGGGCACGGTGGTGCACACCTATAATCTAAGAGGCTCAGAGGCTGAGGCAGGAGATAGCAAGTTCAAAGCCAGCCTCAGCAATAGTGAGACACTAAGCAACTCAGTGCCTCTAAATAAAATACAAAACAGGGCTGGGGATGTGGCTTAGTGGTTGAGTGCCCCTGAGTTCAGTCCTCAGCACGTAAATAAATAAGTAAATAAATAAATAAAAGGTATTGTGTTGTGTCCTTCTACAATTAAAAAAAAAAAAAGTCCTCCCTCCCTCCCTCCCTCCCTCCCTTTACCCTATAAATTTATATCTGCTTCATCCAAGGGAATGACCAGTACTCATACTGATTTCCAATTGAGGGTATGATATAGATTTTTAATAGATGGGGTCTGACTACCTTGCCCAGGCTGGCTCCTGGGCTTTTCAAGGAACCTCCTGCTTCACCTTCCCAAGTAACTGGCACTATAGGCTTACTGCCACCACAGACAGCTCAAGGGTATAATATAATTTTTGGTATGGTAGGAAGGGCTACTTAGCTTAAAATATGTGAAAGTCCAGTATCAAATCAAGTTTGATGTGACCTAAGAAAAGGGTGAGGCAGACATGAAGCTCCCCTTCTGAGACAAAATTAAAGAATATCATGGAGCTGGGATTGTCAGGTTGGAGGCAGAGACCTCCAGCTATTTGCTTTTTTATCAGGGATATTTTCCATGGTGTCTGTTTTGGTTTCAGAGAAGCTATGCCATATTATCTAGCCAGATTTTTAAAACAGCAATCACAAGATGTGTTTAATGTGGTGGCTTGTAGATCAGTGCTAATGGATTTGCCTTGCAAATGTCAGGCCATGGTTTAATCCCCAGCACAGCTAAAACTAAATAAAGTGACAAGTTTTTATTGTGAGAAGCACAATTTAATTGACACTTGTTGTTTCCCTCTAGACTCCACCCTCCCAAGTGTCCAATGGCAAAATAGGATAGAATTGAAATGTTAAGGGTAGGAGCAAGCTGGAATCAAAGGGGCAGGCCAGGGTGTGTTTAAGTCAGTGAAACTTTTCCCTGGGAGTGACTGTGACAAGTACTGGGCCCCATGTTGTTTTATCACATTTTGGCAGAACCTAAAGTAAATCCCTGTCCTTTTAATCCCTTCGGAGTCTTGAAAATTTTGCAGTCAGAAAGTCAGACTCTGCGAATGACTGTGAATGAGATAAAAATGTGATTAAGATTTCCGACTCGATCCCAGGTTACAAGAGATGTTGTTTCTATGAGAGATTTACTTAGAGAAAAATAGAATTGTTTGTGGCCTACCCGGGAGTTTGAGCTTCCGGCAACAGGAGTTGCAACGATGTTTTGCAATGAAGCTTCTAATTGCATCTTCCCCTAAATTGGCTGGTCCAAACACCATTCCTCTTGATCTAGAGGAATTATCAGAATATCAATTAGATCATGGCTAAGAAAAAAGGAGCTCAACTAGGATTCTCTAAGATACCGAACAGTATCCCATAGTAACCCAGTAACTTGAAGGAGCCAACAAAGAACAGAGCACTTTGGGGAAGCAACAATGTTAGGTTTGCAAATTTAAAATTCAAATGCACTTAAATCTTTGTACCCAACTCCAAGACCTACTGTGAAACTCATTTTCAACGCTAATCTGATAGAAGAGTGAATTTTCTATGTACCACATTAAAACAAAATACAGTGAAACCCTTTTTAATGCATATGGGGTGAGAGAGTGACATTCATTACCAAATGTTCTAGTAAAATATCGAAAGGTAAGGCATAAAGTAAAATTGCTATTAGAACACACCTTCTAAAATGATGCATATACATCATTGCAAACCCAAATACTTTTCTCAAAATAACCTTCCTCAAAAATAAATACCTGTCTGAACCCTAGAGACAGTATTTGTGGCTTTTTCAAAAGCCATTTTCTAAGCTGCAAACTGCTCTTTACGGGACAACAAAACTACTATTAGATCATGTGCACATGGAAGTAAACCAGGTATGCTCACCAAATAGAATCGGTATATGTGAGGCACATTTCAAATATTCTATCATTGTAATAGATCTCCAGCAGATTCTAGGATTGTGTTCATCCATTATCATATTGCCTATAACCATGATTCTTCAGACCATGCCATTCTGCACACCACGGAACACAGCACACCAGAAACACTTCCAAAGAAACTTTATGAAAGCTAATATTTTATTTTAATGACATGCAGAGTGGAAACAGCACATTTAAAAAGTCTGAACTCAATTACCACTCTTAAATACCACGTCTTAAGAAAAAAGCAAAGCAAACTATCACAAAAGGAAACAATAAACTTCGCTTCTAAGGAATGCGGTTTTTCAAAGGGGACATGGTGTAAAAATGGACTTTTTTCCATCCAAGTATTGAAACATTTATCTCAATTTCCACTTCCTTTTGGCAGAAGAACAGTAGCTGCTCTGAAGATGTGCCAAGCTCAGAATGAGGGCTGATGTCAGTTTGATCTCAGATTGCCTCTTTGCTCTGTGGTGAGTAGGTGGAGGAAATCTCTTGGGAAGACAGAGTGGAAAGACACTTAGGATTAACTTTCCTGGTCACTCAATCACTCTTACAAAGTACAGCTCTGGTGGTGTTTACCAGGCTTCATAAGCTGCCTCTTGTTAGCTATGCCTCCCTTTCAGCCCATCTGGTAAGGCATTACTTCAATCAGGTGAAACTGAAGGTGGCAAAAAAAAAAAAAAAAAGTCAAATTGCTCGGTATTTAGCAATTTAGACCAGAACTCTACAATCCCAATATAGTGAAAACTAAAGGCATTAGTCATTCCCATCAAAGGATTCCTTTCCTTAGTCTCTCCATCATGTCCCTGTTTGCCTTTCATACCTGCCATTTCTTTCCTCCCAAAAAAGAATGAAAACCCCCAACTTAGAAATAACATTGATTCTCAGATAAAAGCTCTAAGCTAAATCAGTTTCCCCTAGGAGCTATGTGAAAGTCAAGACAAAAGAACCAAAATTACTCCAAAATGAATATATCAGGGATTCGACCGCTCCCACCCCCATGCAGCAGAGGGTAAAAGATTGCCGGCACATTCATTTGCATCTACACTTTACAGAAAGCCCAGGGCCCTGCAGTCCAGATAATCAGGTTAAGAAAAAAAAAAATGCAACTAGCTGTTTTCCAGATTTTTCACAACATAGGAAAAGCAGGTGGTCGCTTGGTTCCACACGCGAGGAAACGCTAATTAGTGCCATCTATACATAGATTTACTAAAGAACATCTCATCATTTCATGCTTGTCAAATGCCCAAAACCATCAAGGCAGTAATCTAAAAAGATATAAACTCAAACTACCAATAAAACAGGCAGAAGATTAGAGAAAGTTGAGACAATAGGCATGAGAAACAATATTAGAATGTATACCACAAAAAAACCACCTTCCCTTTTGATAGTGGATTATTCCCTTATCTTGACTCCCTTTCCTCATACACAAGTTATTGTCCTATCTTCCCTGAGACTCAATTTTATCATTTGCGAACCGGGACTGAAAATGCTTTACTTCCAATGTTGTTGCAAAGGCTAAAATAAATAACATATGTGAAAGTGTTGGCTTAAATTGGTGCTTCTCAAACTTTAATTCACACCAAATCACTGCAAGATCTTGTCAAAAACACGGATTCTGATTCTATAGGTCTAAAGGAGTTCGGCCACATTGCACTTGTAACAGTCTCCCATGAAGCTGTTGTTGTTGGTCCTAGGTCCACGCTTTATGTAGCCAGGGTTTCTGACCAAGAAGTGCCTCGTTGAATTAATTAGATGTCATTCTCATTGAACTAATGAGTCATGAGAAAATAGGACTTTCTGTTATTGTCACCATGAAGACTAACTGCACCCAAAACTGGGTGGTCCCACAAAACCAGGCAGGACTTGGTAATGCCATCCCATCAGTTTCCAGAGTTCTCATCCTCAAGTCATAAAAGGTAAAGTTGCCATAAGACAGAAAATTCTCAACTCTGGTTGCCCACAGAATCACATGGGGAACTTTTAAAAAATACAGACATAAGGGCCCTATCTTTGGAGATTCTAATTGGATGCCAATCCTGCGCATCTTTTTTCTTTTAATTTCCCCAGGAGACCTTAATAAAAACTGAGACTTACTGCCCATAGAATGCAATTAAATACTTAACTGTCAAGTGGGATAACAGAATCTTGGAATCCTAAAAAATATGGGCTATTCAGGTCATATTAAGTGATATATGCCAAGGTCAGAATTTAATGAATGAGAATATGTATAAACTAGGTTCATCATATGTGCAAAAAATTTTCACTGCAAAATTATAAAGAATGTACAGAACAAGGTTCCTACTATAAACCTAGGGCACACAGGGCTACTGAAGAAATAATATTCTTAGGTTAAAAAAAAAAACTTTAGCCCTATTAAGGTGAAAAATAATAAAGCCTTAATGTGTACCCTAATGATTACAACATGGATGCCATAGTCAAATAAAGATCATGAGAATTAGATGATGCATATGAGCAATATGATCACCTCACCTTCTCTAGCTCACCTAATCCAATTAAATATCCAACATACACTTAGTAGATAGGCTTTTGCATAGAAATCTACAAGCAGGACCATATTTAGATTCAGTAAAATAACAGAGCATTACAGCAGTGCACATCTATGAGTTCTGGGGGAGGAAAAGTAAAAACGTCAGACTTTATTGTATAAGGACTGCCCACATATGTAGGTTTATATTTTTTTCTACCACCTAGGAACCACATATAGATACTTAAGATGACTAAGAAGTAAAAATGTTAAATGCCAGCAGTTCTCAAAGTGTGGTCTATGGACCAGCAGCATCAGAGTCACCTGGGAATTTGTTAGATGTGCAGATTATTTGGTCCCACCCCCAACCTACTGAATCAGAAACTCTGGAGGTGGAGCCCAGCAATCTGCGCTTTAACAAGTTCTCCTGGTGATGGTGATGCAAACTCACATTTGAGAACCATTGTTGTCTGCCGTATTGATCAGTCCTCAATCGGCACCATCACTTCTTTTTACTCCACCTTTAACAGAAGAACACAACCTCAGATCCTTTAGTGTCAAGTCTTTCAAAAAGCCTGCTGATGGGACAAAATGTCCTCGGGAATTCAAAGGACAGGCAGATGACTCCTCCTTCTATTTAACTTTGGCTGTAAATTAAGCTGGACAACCTGATGCTTGTTATTTCAGCCCCATTGTTTTGACCTCTCATAGCTTTGTTGTGACTGGATATCACACTTATGTCCTCAGCTGTCATTTTATAAGCAAGTGATAGAAGATGCTGCCCATGATAAGATGCTATGATTCCACAGGACACTGTTTTCATGTCAAAGCCAACACAAGCTAAACTTAAGCACATTTCTCTTGTGTTTGGGACACTAGGAAACTCAGCATCGAATTTGCAACCAAATTCTGACTACTATATAATTTCCATTTATATAAACTAACCCAACTCCAGATTTAATGATTTTTTTCCATATTTTCCTTTTACCCACATTTTCTAATCTAAAATCTTATTGTTTTATATCTATATACAAAAGCTGCTTCAAAATCTTTCTAGGATCTAGGCAACAAGCTGTATGTTTATAAATTATTTTAAAAACCATGTACCATTTAAACAATATGCAGTGTATATATGTATTGAAACATTACATGGTTCCCTATTAATATGTATGATTTTTACATTTTTATGTAAGGGTTAAAGAATAATTAAAAAGAAACATGTACAAGTTAAATGTAATTTTCTAAATGATAACACATAAATTAACTTACTGTTTGTCTTCAGGTTTTATAACAGATGGATCTGTCAAATTTTCTCCAACACCTCAAAAGAAGAAACAAAATTCACTTAGCAAATGGAGATTTTACTTTTTTATAAGTTCAAGAAAATAATAATCAAGTCTTAGCTTCTTTTTGTTGATCTTACAATCGCTGTGTAGTAAATTAAACATCATATGAATTAAATCTAATATAAAAATTGTCCAGGAATGTTTGGAAATTTTAGTGAAGGCACTGTCTCCCACAATCCCCTCTGTTATAATAAACGTGTAGACCACAAATGAATGTTTTGGTGGTGTGTTCACAGTTACTGATAGTGACATCTGCCATTAATTTGCCACTTATGCACACTAGACATTCTAGTTCTATTTTCTCTAATTCTCAGCAATCATAAGATATTAGTCTCTTATCCTAATTTTACATGTGAATCTCATTTACATCAATGAGTACATTGATGTTCAAAGAGATTAAGTAATTTGTCAAAGGTCTCTTGGTTCATCAATGATCATAACCAGATTAAAGCTGAAGGAAGTCGTGTTCCTCCCATTGATTCAGGGTCCCCTTAGATGGACTCCATCAGTGCTCAGCAAGGTGTAAGGTGCTATGAGGTTTTGCAAGTACAGCCTCTGCTCCATCAAAGGGATACATCAAATTATTTATACCACTTACAGACACTACAATGAATCAACACCAAGTTGTTGATCAGCTGCTGGTTGCACCTCTGTGTTCAATTTAAGCTACCAGCACTTTTCTGAATATATGAGTCTTCAATAAAATTTACTTGTTACAATGTGACACCAAAGCCTTAACAGATAATATAGGTTCAATTTAAAGCAAAGTGTATTTAAAAGAAAAAAAAAGAAACAGGGATGAATGCTGAAAGTGAATCTCATAAAACTCAAATGGCGAGGAGGCTGATTTCCAATGGTGGTGAAATTGCACGTAGCTGCACAGATAAACAGGCACCATGCTACAGTGTCTGAGATCATTCTCTAACTTGCTCTAGCTCTGTGTTTGAAAGAGATTAGCTTTGTGGGAAGATTATTTAAAGCTTATGTGAACTTTACAACATTGGTATGTATTGTACTTCATGAAAGAAACTCATGTTTTCTAACCACTGTTTTAAAACTCATGTTGTCTAACCAATATTTTCTTTGTAATTGTAGATGGACAACAAACCTTTATTTTATTTTATTTCTGTATGCAGTGCTAAGGATCCAACCCAGTGCTTCACATTTGCTAGGCAAGTGCTCTGCCACTGAGCTACAGCCACAGCTGTGTCTAAACACTATTTTAAAAATATTTCTGTATTCTATATATTTAAATACGTTAAACCTTCCACAAGAAAATATAATCTTTTGGGGCTGGGGATGTGGCTCAAGCGGTAGC